AATTTATCACGTTTTCATTCAGTTCCATCAGAATCACTGACTGAGTCTGTCGCCATTTTCTTTGCACGAAATAAGAAGCAAAATTTCTCTAAGGAAAATACCGAAAAACTTGAAAAAACTCTCCAGAACATTGTTAAATCTTTCAGAAACAGAGCACGCCAAGCATTTGAAGAAAATTCCTCAATAATTTTCAATTTCTATTATCAACAAATTTGCAACTGATAACTTCCGATTTCGCTATCGCATACTGTTACAGATGTGTGTTTTAAGGTAAAATACATTTCTTCCGTCTTCAATTCATTACAAATTAAACTGAAGTCAACATTGCTTTCGTCATTCCAATAAATAAATGTGAATTCAGAACGTCAAGAACAGCAATTGTTATAGAATATTCTTCTTTGTTATAGAACGGTATATATTTCTGTATCTATATAATTCGGAAAACAACAATAAAGAATCATCCAAATTACTTGAAATAGCGTCATTTGTGCTGATGATTAATAAATTTTTTATCGTTTTCTTGGTAAGTATTTTTTAGATTTGAAAGAATAGATAATTTCAACTAGAATTCAGCTGTTCTGCTTTTAAGCTACATATTCAAATTCATATCAAAATCTTACAATTGGGTATACTATAGCCTACGTCACAGGTTGTGTTCTTCCTACTAAATTTAACCCATGAACGGTATTTTCTGCGAGCCTAACTTCAAGCCACAAATAAACAAACGAAGTGTTTGATCGTTTAAATAGCTGCTCGCCAGATTTTATTGCATTATAAAGAAAAGTAATTGATATTCGATTTTTGATTAATAATTGATTTATGTGGATAGTGGCATTTATGTGGATAGTGGCATAGAATTTAGCATTGCGTCGTGGTAAATGTTATTCCTACTAAGTGGAAGTAGTTGTGTTTTTTTTTATATTATACCCAATTATAAAATTTTCATGTATGGTATGTTATCTAAAAGTAATAAAGGGATAATCTATGTACATATTATTTGAAAATAAACCTATCAAACGAAGAGCATTTCATTTGGAATTCTGCGGATTAATAAAGAAGGTAAGTGTCATGATTTAATAATAAAAAATTAGCTTGTAAAATTTTTTTTCTTATTTTATAATAGTTCTCTACAGAATGCTTTTTTACGTCTGATTAAGAACTATAAGAATGAAAAGAGAAACAATATGGAAGTCTTTTATTTCAATATAATGAATTTTTAAAATCGTTTTTTTTATCCTAAGAATTCTTTATTTTACTTTTTTTAGTTTATAATTTTTTGATAAAAATTGTTGTTAAAATAATTGTTTTGAAAAATTAAATGGTATAAAATTATGTGCTAATGTATACTTCTTGCATATTCTAATTGTTGATGTAATATGATTCGGTACTTACGTAATAACGCCACCGCAACTACAGATTTGGCGGTTTTTAAGTGCCACCAATCTACACCAAAATTTTTGCAACAAATCATAAAATAAAACACTTTATTTAAAATCAAAGTAGTTTATCGGATTTCGGTGGACAATGGGCAAAATATTTCGCTCCTGAAAAAATAAAATTGCATCTTTTCTATTTTTGGCAAATCCCAAAGACGCATTTTCATAGCACTAAAAAATGGTAACAAAAATCGAAGAACAAATCATTTGGGAATTCTTTTGATTTATAAAGCAGGTAAGTGTTCATTTTTATAAAATGAAAAATTTTACTTTTAAGTAATTTTTTTCTTATTTGATTTAAATGATAGTTTTCTATAGAATGGTTTTCTGCGTCCGATTATGAATCAAAAAAGAAAAAACATGAAAGTTGTTTATTTTAATGTAAGGAATTTTTAGAATTGGGTTTTTCATTTTTGCTTTGTATCGTAAGCATTCTTTATTTTGCGTTTTTTAGTTTCTAAATAATGATTTTTATTGAAACTTGAAATTTTTTAATAAAAATTGTTGTCAAAAAACCTTTTTCACTAAATTAAATTTCATAAAATTATGAGGTTTATGTATACTTTTTGTTCGTTTTAATTTTTGAACTAATATGATTCTTAAAACTATGGAATGTAAAGTTTAAATAGGCCTTTCATGTTATAACATTAAATTTGGTAAAACTATTTTTCGGGCATTAGGTTTTAACTCTTATAAGAATATACATATTTTTTTCTGTTTATGTGCAAATATTTTTCCGATGTGTTTTGGATGTTCCTTCTCTTTAAAAAAAAGAGATACCATTTTGTTTTCGTTTGCATAAGAAAGGATATTAAACATTTTTCTTTTTTAAATTTAATTAGCCACGATAAAAAAGGAACGTTGCAATGCTGCACGCTACATTAAAGACGTCTCTAGAGTAAATGAATGACTGTTCATATAGAAATCGCAGGTTTTAGTCTCTTACAACAACGCCCCCTATAGTTCGTTGCGATCGCGAATTCTATACGACTTTTACGATGGAATTATAAAAGTTATGTTTTGCATAGATATTTATGCAAAATATAATAAAACTAATTTAATTTAAACTTAAAAAATAGGAAATACATTAAAACTATTCTCAAAATAAAATTATGTGTTCACTGAAACAATTCGCGATCGCAACGAACTATAGGGGGCGTTGTTGTATGAGACGGATACCTGCGATTTCCATATGAACAGTGATTCAGTTACTCTAGAGACGTCTTTAATGTAGCACGTAGCATTGCAACGTTCCTTCTTTATTGTGGCTAATTAAATTTAAAAAAGAAAAATATTTGGTATTCTTTCTTATGCAAACGAAAACGAAATGGTATCTCTTTTTATTAGAGAAGGAATATCCAAAACACATCGGAAAAATATTTGTACATTAACAGAAAAAAAATTGTATATTCTTATAAGAGTTAAAACCTAATGCCCGAGAAATAGTTTTACCAAATTTAATGATATTGAATAATTTATACATTTAAACTTTACATTCTATAGTTTTAAGAATCATATTAGTTCAAAAATTAAAATGAACAAAAAGTATACATAAGCCTCATAATTTTATGAAATTTAATTTTGTAAACAACGTTTTTTGACAACAATTTTTATCAAAAAATTTCAAGTTTCAATAAAAATCATTATTTAGAAACTAAGAAACGTAAAATAAAGAATGCTGACGAAACAAAAACAAAAAAAAAAAATAATTCTTTTTTGTCGCCATTTTTAGTGCTACGAATATTCGTCTTTGGGATTTGCCAAAAACAAAACAAGATGCAATTTTATTTTTTCAGGAGGGAAATATTTTACCGAAAAAACGAAAATGTACCAATTCCCACAACATAAAACTTTATCTTGGTAAACGTACGTTTTGGAAATGTTATTTCATTTGGAATCTTATTTATCAGAGTTCATATGGCGATATGATTGTTTTGAATCTATGCTAAACTCTATATCGGCTCATTTTCCACCGAAATCCGATTAACTATTTTGATTTTAAATAAAGTGTTTTATTTTATGAATTGTCGCAAAAATTTTAAGTGTAGATTGGCGGCACTTAAAAACCGCCAAATCTGTAGCGGCGGTGGCGTTAATACGTAAGTACCGAATTTTTATTCCATACTTTTCTGAATCATATTACTTCAAACATTGGAATATACAAGAAGTATACATAAACACATAATGTTATACCATTTAATTTTTCAAAAAAAGTATTTTGAGAACAATTTTTATCAAAAAATTATAAACTAAAAAACGGAAAATAAAGAATTCTTAGGATAAAAAAAAGATTTTAAGAATTCTTTACATTGAAATAAAAACTTTCATATTGTTTCTTTTTTTATTATTCTTATAGTTCTTAATCAGACGTAAAAAACCATTCTGTAGAGAACCATCATCAAATGAAAAAAAAATATTTACAAGCAAATTTTTTATTGTAAAAATCATTGCACTTACCTGATTTATAATTCCCGGAGAATTCCAAAATGATAAGTTCCTTGTTTGAAAACTTTATTCTCAAATAATATATGCATAGTTTATCCCTTCATTACTTTTAGATAACATACTACACAGTAAAATTTTATAATTGATATGAATTTGAATATGTAGCTAAAAACAGAATAGCTGAATTCTAGTTGAAATTATTCCTTCAAAACAAAATAATAATTACCAAGAAAACGATACAAATTTATTAATAATCAGCACAAATGAATCTATTTCAAGTAGTTCGGATGATTCTTTATTGTTGTTTTACGAATAATAGATACAGAAATATATACTGTTCTATAAAGAAGAACAATATTCTATAACTACATATTATACAGTTCTGTGCATATTCTGAATTCTTATTTATTCATTGGAATGACGAAAGCAATGCTGACTTCACTTTAATTTGTAATGAATTGAAAACAGAAAAAATTATTTTACCGTAATACACACAATCTGTAACAGCAAGTGATCAGGAAATTGGAAGTTATGTTGTTGGTAATAGAAAGGTAAAAATTATCGAGAAATTGTTCTTCAAATGCTTGGCGTGTTCTGCTTCAATGTTTGGCATGTTCTGGTTAGTTTTTTCAAGAAGTTCTACCTTTTCCTTAGGGAAATTTTGTTTCTTATTTGGTGCTAATGAAATGGCGTCCGTCATTGCCAATGACTTTGTGGGAACTAATGTCCGATATTTTCAGTCTCCCGCTAGATGGCGTACTCGAGCGTTGCGATCGCGAATTGAAAACGTATTTTCATGTAAATATTTTAATTTTGCACTTTCTTATCTAATTTTATGGTATCAAAAATCGAATATCGTTTTCGTTTTTCTATAAAAGCGAAAGCTCTGTCGATCAAACAAAATAGCCAATTCAGCGAAGAAACCGTTGAAGTGGCAAGCGTTGGCGATCAAACAGCAACCCTTTGTTTACCTCCACTATTAATTTTCGTTGAACAGACTATATAGTATTGTCTCTATTTTATAGTATAGTACTCTATGTAAGTACTTTGCAAGTTTTCGGAATTTCCGTGTTCGATATACTACGTAAATCTCTCGAATTATAATAAATTCCTGCTTACTTTGTATGCGATGAAAGCATTTATTAGAACGATGCACGCATTGTATGTGATCAATATCTTGTTCAGTTTGAATGGCTTCCGGCCTCTCATGAGTCGGGGACCCACGTATGTCACGAATACCACATAGCCACACACTATGGATATTATAGTGTAGAAGCTCCCAATCCTTTCAAGGTTATCTGGATCTATAGCGTTAAATAAAAACAACACATAGAAGAAAGGAATTGTTAGTCTATATTATCTAAAACAATAATTCGGACAAAGAGCAAAAAATGTACCACCCTTAATAACTTTCGATCAAATGATGGGATATTCACGTCCTAGGACTCTGTCGTAATGGTTCGAAAGGGGGTGATCTTTATATGCTAATTAATTAATTGCAAATGATATTTTAAGTTACGAAATCAGGCACAAGAGGTTACTTTCGCTAAATAAACATTCGGATTTCTGATCCAGAATCTGGGAAATAGGGTCCAAAGAGGAGTACAAGTTTGGACCCCTTAATTTCAATTTTTGCGTATTTTGTCATAACTCGATAAATGTTTAAGCGAGTTGAAAGTTTTTTGCATCCAATTATAAGATTAACTTATCGAATTATAACTCTCTGCGAAAAGTAACTTTTAATAAATATTTATTATTTTCTATTACTTTATTTAACAATAGTGAATTAAAACTTTTGAATTGTAATCCATGCAATTTTTTACACATCATTTTAAAGAATGTTGTAGTATAAAACAAAATGCAAAATTTAGCGAAATCGGTCGAATAGTTCCTGAGAAATCGAATTTTTAAAAAAGTTGTGTTCTTAATGTATTTATCCTTCCTATTTTTACTAAGCAAATAAAGTTCTTATATTATCAAGTGATATATCTATCCGCTTCAGTTTCTTAGAATTATTCACTTAATAATATAGCGTCACAAAATCGATGAAATTTCTTTTCTCGTATTGGCAACGGAAAGCTTAAACAAACCGAGCTTCAAATTGGGCAGAATAAAAGGTAAAAAGTAAACAGTTGATGATCTATAGTTTTGTTTCAGTTTCAAGTTGTGTTTTTCCAACGCAGATCAGCCAAAAATACGCTGCTCGTTGATTCAACCTAAATTTTTCTTTTAACTCTGGTATAGTACCTCCATTTTTATCTACTTTGTTACTATACTTATTTTTCATTTTCTCATCCTTTTCATTAGTTCTTTTACATTTTAAAATTAATGTTGGAATAAGTGACTTAAAAATTTTCTGTTTTCAAACATTAATTGCTTACATTGAAAAATTCTATAAGTTATTTATTTATTTTACATAAGTTAAGTCTAAATAATTTTGAAATGTATCTGTCAATTTAGCATCCTATTATAGGGTTGTTTTTCATAATAAACTATATTATGACAAACGAAATACCAACTTTGAACAGCCGACCCATTGTTTGGTTTACGTCTTTCAACGTTCGACTCCGTGGCCTCGTGTAGAACCCAACCTACAAGACGAGGTAACTCTCGAACCAAGCACTTGGGAACATACTTGACTTCGCACTGGAGATTTTGATTTAACTAACCCACAATTGTAGGAAACTATGAGAACCTCTTCCGGTTAGCCCATGACAATAGAATTCGAACCTATCTATCACTTGATATGAGAAAGCCGGAAATAGAATTTGCATTCATCAGCCGTCGCTGGGATTCGAACTTGAGTCATCTCTTTGGGAGTTCCTTTATTGATTGACAGACGTGCTTTTTCTGGAGAATGGAAGTCTAAAATAGAAGATAACCTCTGCCGGAGGGGGGGGGATAAACTTTCGGAAATAACGTTTAGTATCCCTGAATACATACTATCAAAATGATTGAGACGTTTATTTTTTAAATTTTTTGTTGATCTTTCTCAAGACATTTGAATGTTTCACACACTGATGGAATACTACAAAAAGTCGCTCACTTGGCACGCAGTGAAAAGAACTCTTAACAATATATTATTTATTTTTTTTAAAAAAATGTGGGGAAATACTTGCCTTCATTGAAGAAAAAATCTTTCAATCCTTGCAAACTGACCATTCTGACGTTGATGGATTATCATAAAAACTTTAATGCTGTAAAAACATTAAGTACAATATATTTATACAATTGAAATATTGAAATTTTAGAACAACAACAAATAAAGCTTTAAAAATAAATTTCCAAAGTTCCAACTTTCAAAAAAATGCTATTTCACCATCGTTTGTTAAAATAAAAGATTATGCCGAAACTGGACTCGTTAATCATGCTGTTTTGAGTACTAATTAACTAAAAAATATCGGTGTACATATATATATATATATATATATACACATACATNTTCTTAACTTTCTTCGTGTTTTCTCGTATTTATATATATATATATATATGTTGCATTAGTATTTCCAATCGTAATTTTCAAAATAAAATAACTAAATTCGTTAATAATGAAACGTTTTTTTTTAAGTAAAAGCATTTAGTTTATCTCAGCGTCAAAAACGGTGGTGATTACTTTACACCAAAGAGGTGTAGTGACACGCCTTACATACCTCTTGGAAATACTCAAAATAAAACTTATAATTACAGTAAGATAAGATACACCTCTGAAGTTACTTATGTAATACGATATAAAGTAAGAATCATTTATTTAGAAAATACATTAATACACTAATTCTTAAAATTAAATTAGTTTCTAAAAGTCGCGTAGCAGAAAGAGAACATTAAAACGGAGTCTAACTATGTTTGACAGAACTGGAACTCATAGAAATTATACATTATAATATCATTTAAAACAGTTCTCAGAGATTTAAAAATTAAAATATAATTATCCTGATCATGCAAATAAAAACATGCATATTTTATGTAACTGTTTGTGTTGATCAGCGTATAGAACAGTAACAAACTTTTGCTATCTCGATTGCAAACAAACTACTAGCTATATTTTTCTTGGTATTTATTGAAATTGTGATATTCAAAGCTCGCCAGCATTGGCGTATTCGGAGGTGGAAAAAAAATCTGTGAAAACGCGAGAGTTTGGTGCAAGATTACAATTCAATTATAAGTATTTAGATTAAATTATACCCTTTTTACATCGAATATCAATTACGGTGTAAACCCGAAATAAAGTGTTCCTTCCCACAATTGTTTGGGTTATTCAACATCCTATACGAAGCGATGTTACACCAACGTTAAATCAAAATAAATTCAATTACAACCGATTCTGCTTTTGTCATTCTAGCGAAGATTTGTATAGGTTTGTTCTAGTAGTCATTCTTATGACTTATTTTGTTTCAATCACTAAACATTGAGTAAAAATAACACTAAAATTATGACTTTAAAATTCCAAAACATTGAGGTAACATTTTGATGGTTTTTGAAAATAATTTTTGTCAGACATATTCACGACAAATTTAATTTAAGAGTTTATTAAAAATATAAATTTCTAATTAATGCATCTGAATTACTTTTGATGTTAGGATCGCATTTTAATTTCATTCATATATGCAAAATTTTAATTTTCTATGAATATACCTTATGTTCATCAGTTAGATAAAACGATGTTTTGAGTTGCATAATCAAATACAAACATGAAATTGAAAACGAATAAACATATTTTGGTTCTTGATCCTGAAAAAAAGGAAGGTAGCGGCCATTCCAAAAATGATTCCACTAGCTCAGTTAGAATGAGAAAGTGATTTACGTCACTTATTACCACATTACTGGAACTATTTTAGGCAAAAATGATGGGCAGTTTTAAATTTTTTTCTCACTAAGATTTTCTGTAAAAAATATTTTTCTGAATACATTATGTTTTATTATTTAATAAAATAATGATCAAAAACCATTGAATCATAAAGTACAAACCTATTGACATCACTTAAAACTACGTATATAATTTTAATTCTCGAAATTCAAAATCTCAATAAAATTCTCTTTATTAATAAAAAATTGGAAAAAGCACGGAATAACTCTGAATATAACTTATTCAGTCCATTTCGTTGCGTTTCACTTTACATAAAGCTTTTAAAAATTTATGGAAAAAGAATTTTGGTTTTGAAGAAACTTAAGAAATAAATTAATTTAAATCACTTTCACAAGTAATTTTAGAAAGATTACTAATATAAACAATGCTTACCTATGTA